CTGCTATTATGACTTGGCCGGAATCGGCCTGGCAATAACTGGCGTCAGGCAATAAACTGACAAGAACGGCTGGTTATAAACGAAGAGGGAACTTCAAAATGTTCCACCTTAAACGCTAATCCGAAACGTCGTATTGACGTGCTGATTTTCCCGAAAGTCGAACTGCCTTCTGTATGAATCACCGGCATTACAGTCACTTTGATCCATGTCATTATCTGCAAAAGCCACTTAATCTGAATCAGAAAGTTAATAAAACCGTAGCAAAGATGTGGAATCAAAGGTAATTACCTCATTTCCCTTCTCCTTTTCCTGCTGTGCGTGAATACGTCTGACGGTCACTGGCATTGCTGCCGCTTTCGCAGCCAGTCCAGCGCAGCTCGGCTTTGCAGAGCTACTGTCTCCACCTCCGGTGGGGTTTGAGGCTGCAGCACCTTCGAAGTCTTTGGCGTTTTTACCTTCCTGCTCCTCAAGCTCCTTTTCAAGTTCCTTCTCAATCCTGCGTTAAATAATTGTTGAAAAATATCATGCTAGTAACGCAAATTAAGTAGTAAGATTTGCGCTCTAGATATAAAAGCGCAAAGACCTCGTGCAAAGGTTGGTAAGAAGCGTTTGGGATGGACGACAAGCATGCACAGCAGAACTCACAGAGGCAACGCAAAGACTTGCCGAAATGCTTTAATGAACGGACTTACTTTGACCACTCCTCGTATGTCCTGGGCTTCGAGGACTTGACTGTAGAAGTGATTCGCTGATAGACAAGAAAAGGGGGATACAGGTGTTATCATTCGTTATGCAGGATGAAAATTTTAGAAGAAACGTACTATGCCATAAAAACAAGCCATGGAAATTCCAGCCAGTCTATGCCCATACGTTAGAACTAGTTGCTGTATTATTGTTCTAGAAAACGTGGACATGTCCCAGGCGTTCCTTCACCTACCCACGACACACGTTGAACGTCTACCGGCAATTAATTTGGAAAATACATAAAACTATTGCATACGGTTCAAAGACTGCAAGCATAATCAGTTGTTTCCTGATAAAACTAAGCAGGCAAAATCTAAAGCGCTATCGTTAAATTATTAAAAGATTCATTTTTTTCGATTGGAAATCCTCTCTATTAAGAACCTGTTAAAAATAGAAAATATCGCGGAGCCTTCAGCTCGATTATGCGACGATTTCGCTAATATGTGGTTAGCGGCTGACCTTTGTTCCCTTTCCGGTAGCCGCCGATATACAGCCCTCGCTTCGAACTGCAGGAACTCCGGGAATGGCAACTGGATCTTCGATTATTGGAAGGCTCATCTTAGCAACAGTTTCGTTCCGCTTAGTTTCTTCCAGCCATTTCTGAAAGGTTAGAGCGAAAGGCAGTAGGAAGAATGCAAAATACATAATTCTAGAAGACCTACAGTACGAGTGTGCGAGATCGTTGCACCAAGTACTTTAACAGAGGGATGGGCGTTTAGAACATGTGGACGTGAACTGCTTACATGACTATACCGAATGCCTTACAAAGCACCTCAGTAGGAAGCCTCAAAGTAAGCACAATCAGATATTTGATTTCGTGTGTGTAGTTTCACACACGTACCAGATTTCCTGCCGCAAACAATACTAAAGGAATGAGAATGATGTCCACGTCATTGAAAAGTCCACTGAGGCCATTTATATCGTTTCCTTATTCATTTCTTGCAATTAATTGATAACTTAGTCTCAATTTTTCTGAACACTGTGAGCAAAATGTTGCAATATGGCGGCATCTTTAAAACGAAGACATGAAAACTGCCGTATGCGGGGACAACTAAAAGTAAACCCATCAAAAGTATGTGACAGTCAATTTTGAAACCAAAAAACAAAAGCAAGCACGTAGAATGATTAGTGTGTTACAGATTGTAGGCAAATAAAAAGCGTGATTGAAAATGCAAAATTGCAAAATAGAATAAGATATAAAGACGCTTATTGTGGACAGATTTTAGGCAAAAAAATATCAAAACCTCACGCTTCTTATCAATACAAAATTCCTTAATAACAATGAAAACTTTTATGCTTTCATTCTAGTGTGTACGGATAGCGATTAAAGGCCGAAAGCCAACCAAACTAGACTGCTTCTTTGAAACAGCACAATAAACCTATTACTTGTGAAATAACAAAAAAAGAAATGGCGGTTTATAAAACATATTGAGAGCCAATCGCTTCTGTAAGGAAAGTTAGAAAATCAAAGAGCTGAGAAAATCAATGAGACGTGTCTGACCTGAAATTCATCTTCAACCTCTTCTCGTTCTTCTTGAGGAAGCTGTGTTGTACTGATCAGTTTTTCAGGTTTACGAAGCAGGCGACTTATAAGAAAAAGAGGTATATAGGTTGTAAAGACGTGTGCTTGCTTTTGTTTTCATCTGTTATAAATATTGTAGAAACAGGGACTAAACGCCACGTCAAAGGGCACGCTTAATAAACCCTGAAATAAAGGAAGTTGGAGAGCAGGACCTTAAACAAAAAGAGCAGTAAATGTTTTGTACGTCACACGAGGCATCATAAGAATGCGGTTATTAAAACATAATCCACATAACACAGGTTGCCCTGCACATCGTTTCGTTAGAGGCTAGAAAATAGGGATTTTCTGCATGACCACGTCAGCATTATGTGCAGACCATATTATATATGATGTATAGAACACGTGTCAACGACAACACCTCATCTGTTGTTATCGCTCCATTGCATTTAGGATTACGGTGACGTACAAAAAAGCGTGACAGACATACAACATTGTAATTTATGCCGGCTTTGCTTTGGAAAGCACACTCATTTGCGCACTTGTTTCTAAGCATTTAGGGTAAAAATTGGGCTGTCTTTCCATTTATTCATTTCGACCCAATGTAGATTTCGTCCACTTAAACTCGCCATTCTTATAAAGTGAGCTGCATATGGCCGTCACTTGCATTATTTGGATTTAGTGGTTGCTTACAGTACGCGTTTGTATATGTTAAAAGCACAGTTTTGACATTAAAGTGGCCGTGGAAGATGTAAGGTATCACTTAGGGATTGCTTAATATTATTTTCCAGGAAGGGGGAACTAAAAGTGTTGGGTTAAATTGTTGCATATACAAAACGAATCACAGAGTGAAAGGATTGTTTGCTTATTTTCTGCAAATGCAACAGCTGTTACCATTAAATTTTCAACATTTTCCTCTGAATATCTTTATTTTAACTCCTTTTTGGAAGTTTTGAAAATGTGCAGAAAATGTCGAATGTTCTGACTACTATCTAGCAACCATAACGAGAAGTATTTAGCTAACCATTTATTAATCAAGAGGACAGATAACCATCTATTCTTTGGGGAATACTATCTTTACTAACGGTCTTGTGGTAGTTCACGCCTCTGTACTTTTGTTAGTTATGGATTACTTTATCCAGGTCATACACGCGACTAAGAACGGCGTGGACGACAAACCTACGTAGATATCAGACCAACTTTAACATAACTCTTTAAATGATCATATGCAAATCAATCGCCCCCCCCCACCAGTAACTTATTCACGTAAAATGCGAACAACAACAGATTATTCGCATGTAGAGGGTGGGGGCCATATACACAAACCCCTTTGAAGAGCCGTTTTTATACACCAATAACAATTTGAGATATATTTTATAGAAACTATCATCTTTGTCATTTCTGTGCCACTTGTTCAATCACACGGGCTATTGGGGATGTCACATTGACTAATTAGAGCACCGACAACAGTGTAGGAATAGGGATTCCCGTAAATTCTTATCCGGGTACATTTCTTGCGTTAATGATAAATTTAAATGAAATAAGAAGCATATAAAAGCGGCTTCCTACAGTTAAAACTGCCCGCATCTTCGAAGATCAAAGATTTGAAATAGCTCACTTTTCTGGGTCCAAAGACCGGATTTTTTCTTCGCAATGTGCTTCCAAGTCAGGATAACTGCCCTCTGTACCTGATCTTACAAAACAGTGCATAAGTCGCAATTATTTTTAAAAACCTTAAAACTTTGAGAATTTTTTCGAGCTCTTTCAGCTTGCTACATTGCGTAATGTATTTATAATCTAGATGTTCAATCGGAATGTTATAAAGCGTAGTCGTTTGGCCAAACATCGCGCACAAGTTTATAAACGTGCACGCGGAAAGTCGCTATATTGGGGAAATTTTGATGCATCTAAACAATAGTCTTCGTTGCTTGATGTGGGCATCATGAAAAAGTTTTTTTGCTTCCGAAAGGTAAGGCCCGCTATATACAGAAGACATTAAAATGCATAATGTTTGTTTCAAATACGAGGCATAAATACAACATCTGCAAATGTCAAACGGAATAACTTGCATTTGAAGTTGGAGTCCGGTTAATGTGGACACGGTTAATGTGGACAACCGCTTAATGTGGA